GATAATTCTTCTTCCGGCAATGCTTTGCTGAATTATGCGAATCCTCCCACCGCTGTCAGTTCAAACGAATTAAACAACCCCGGTACCGGATCACCGGAATCCACCAGCGCCAATCCACATCCCGGTGACAAAACCTGATCCATCATCCCCCATCGGGAACGAACACATCCATTGATGTTGCCACTGCGCGTAGCCATCCACAACGACCGTGATTAATCGAATTCATTCGTTTCCCCTTCCCCGTTGCATACTTGGCTCGCGTTCCTCTCTCTCACTCTTTCCCCAATCCGATCTTGTCCTCCGCATATTCATCTTCTTGGGCGTTTGCGTATTTCCATTTTTGGTGACCTGTTTGTGTATGTATCCGTGACAAGTCAGCACATTNCCCCTTCCCCGTTGCATACTTGGCTCGCGTTCCTCTCTCTCACATTTTCCCCAATCTGATCTTGTCCTCCGCATATTCATCTTTTTGGGCGTTTGCGTATTTCCATTTTTGGTGACCTGTTTTTGTATGTATCCGTGACAAGTCAACACATTTTTCGTATTCATAAAATCTTGGTTTTGCTCTTCCCCTCTTATTCGATCGTGTCTCCGCAAGCTCACACGTGTCCTGAATTGTGCATTGCTGCGTTCAGTGGGCGTGAGATTCTCCCTTATCCACCAGTCCGTACAATTTACCTCTATCTCACTTGCGCCCAGGTTTTCATGCTTACAGCGATCGAGTTTGTTACATCTATTCCCCCTTGTTGTGCATATGTTTAGTGACGCTGATTTTGTATGTCGCCGTTATCCCTTATTTCGTCGTCTTACTTGAGATTCTGGTCGATAGTGGCTATGGCGCGTCCCATCCTCGCCATCCTCCTCAGACATTGATCTGCCCTTTGTCTTTTTTCCTTATGCACACAACCGGTTGTTTAGTGTCTTGGGCTTTACTTCGCATGCCCGATGAGCTCCGGATGCAGCTCCAACAGCCTCAGTGGCGAAAGTCACCTTTGGAAACAAGCCAACTGTCGGTCGATCGCTCATTTGGATCAATCCATACCCCCATTCCTATTCAAACGTAAAACGCTCTGCCTGTTATTTTTCTAGGTGATTCTCATCCAGTAAGGTGGTTCTACCGGTCTCGATCGTACGCAGCCAAACGTCCGCGTTCCGTTTTGATAACTTGCGGTTTTGCGGAATTGCTTCTACTGCCATTTTGGGTAGTGATAAGTAGCATCTTATTGATACCATATCCGTTTCTATCCGTTCATCACCGCCCCCTATTTACGATTGTCAGTTTGCTCCTCAGCCAGAAGAGAACACTGTTTCTTGTTTTCCCCATCGCCATTCTTTCGTCCACTTTCATGCGTCCGGGGGTTGCAATTTTGTTCAGTGGGGTGTTTGTTCATAACCTTCTCGTAGAAGTGGAGTACACCAATGCTCTATCTATCTGTGTGACTACACCCTCTAATATCATCTTCGGGTTCTCGCGCCGGAACGTTGTTTGTACCCGTGCTTGGCTCAATCCAAATGGCTAGATCTGATTTAGCTTTTATCCAGGGGTTGAAATATGTCGCCTTCCGTTCGACGGTCACGGAATCTTTCCTCCCCCTCCAACGCACATAAACGGTCTCCACTAAACTAAATTTAATCTAAGTGAGTCCTGTCATTCGCGTAGGACTTACACCTGAGCACTAGTTAGTGAGGGTTCAGTGACAGTTCTTTGGTTGTTTTTCTCACACTATGTTCTCAATCCTTTCTTGAAGCTGTGGTTATTCGTTCATACTTAGATTTCATGTCTTTAATGAGTCCATGTTATTGAGAGTAAAAATGGCGTTGCCATATGTATCACTCTCTTTTTGCTACTTACTTTTATGCACGAATCAACAATGCGCAAGAAGTGTGCGGGCGTGCGACGACCTGCCTGTGCATATACGCGGTCACTCACGATTAAATTTACCATTCAGGTTCTTCCCCGGGTCTCATCGTTCTCGTTGTGTTCCTACATGTCTCTTCTCTTATTCGATACATTAGACACAGCCAATTCGTGATCCAGAGTGTGCGTGGTTCCTATTTTTCTTTTGTTTTGTGTCAAGGTTTCCTTCGCACATGCCAAATCGCCCATCAAACATAATTATTACCATGAGCTGTCCATCAACCATGTTGCTTTCTATTTGTGTTTTCCCTCCTGTTTCCTGTGCTATCTTACATTCTTCCGAAACTCCCTTTGTCGTCTTCATCTGCTTCAAGTGTGCACACATCTGTTTGTCATGCCATTATGTCATCACGTGATTTTGTGTGGTTTGTTCTCGTCTGATACAGACCAGACTGCATGCACCGCACATGTTGACTAGTCGTTTTGAATGCATCTGCCTTGTTCTGTACTCAATCAGTTCTGCCCCCTAAAGGCCTTTATTATCGTGTCGGGATTCATTTTCAATCCAACTACCCACACCACCATTTGTTCCTCTACCTCCACCCTTCTTTCATTCTGAATGCTGGTAATGACCTTGACGAAGTATGGGCATCGATACCATTGCTCCAGTGCATTACGCTCCTCCAAAAATGTTCCACTTTTCCGTTAGCACTCCTCAGTTCTTCTCTTCCCGTCATTCATTATCTTGTCATCACCTTTGATACGCATGCCATTACTGTCGATTTGAACAAGGGAAACACATCGGATGC